TACCATGGAGAGATGAACCAGGACAATTTTTTTGAAATGGTTTCAACATCAGTTATTAGAAAAATTGGAGAGTCCATCTATGATTATACTGGATAACGCCCCTTATCACAGCATGATATTGAACAAAGTGCCCAACAATGCATGGACAAAAAAAAATATCCAAGACTGGTTGACAAATCAAACATACCATTTTTAAACACAATGTTTAAAACAGAGCTATTGAGTATTGTTGCTCGGTACATAATGCTTCTTAATTATATATATTTTTGTCGACAGTTTATATTTCTTTTGTTTATTCCTATTCTTAAAATAACTGCTTTTTTAGAAACAAACCACCTAAAATATACGTGATTAATGAATTGGCGGAACAACATGGGCACAAAGTTCTTCGTCTGCCTCCTTACCATTGTATATTTAACCCTATTGAGTTAATTTGGGGCATAGCAAAAGGTTACTATAACAGATATATTGGTAGAGATGGTAACAGTGAAAAAGACTGTTTGGATATGTGGAACGAGGCTCTACAAACGGTTACCCCAGACATGTGGAAAAATAGTGTTCGACATACTGAGCAAGAAATTTTAAATGGTATGAAAGAGAACGAATTTTTGATCGACCAGACATCGAACCTTTAATAATCAACTTTGAGAGTGATGAAGATTCAGATTCAGACAGCGCTGAAGAAAGAAACTCCGACTAACTTTTTGTACAGAAAATGCTTACACCAGTAGCTTACCTAATTTTAGAATGCATTTTTCTGTATGAATTCTGTAAAATAAATACCATGCATAAAATTTGGAGGACCCCATTTGGATTTTTATTCAGTACCTTTAAGCTATCAATTAAATATGGTAGTTTCATAGTGTCATCTGATCAATAATTGTCATACTTAATGATTATGCAAGTACAGATCTATAATTTATTATACTATTATTTTTGTTCTCATTTGAGGTTAATATTGCTTATAAACCTAGATATGTAAATAATAAATTTTATTATTTTACAAAAAGTTTGGCAACAATGTAAATTTTTCAACACACCCACCTTGATGACGTGCACGCCACTTTGTTTGGCGTTGACTATACTTAATGTAATGTAAGTAATATCAGCTGGCCGAGACGCACACAATTTCGTCGGTCATTATTGACTGATTTTGTGTAACCCTTCTGATGAGAAATTATGAAAGGTGTAGCATGTTTACACATTGCATGTAATATTGGCAATATATAGCCGAGATATAGTTGATATAACTGAGGTATACAGCCGTACCATATGCTGCAATATGGTCAAGATGGCTGCTGGACTGGAATTGCCATACTCAAATATTGCAACAAAAATGTTCGTTTAATAATTAATGCTAATCGTTTATAACATTCACTAGTAGCATCTACTTTTAATACAGTAGAGGTACAAATACTATTGTAAAATACTGCTGTTCCACAGACCGATGCAACACTTTAATATACCCTGCTTCTATTTAAAGGAAGAGGAACTGTCTGTAGGAACCTTATTTCGTACAAATCAAATCATTACTTACATCTAGTTTGTAAAAAATATATCACTAACAATCTCACAGACCTAGTCTAGAATCGAAGAATCTGTTGAAAGCAAAAAACTGTGTTCCATACAGGGTGAAAAAATTGCAATATTTCTCGTAAATAAAGCTATTACAATAACATAAAATGATCCTATATACTCATGTTTTCAGATGTCCCATTACCAAGACAAGACTGTACATTTCTGCATCACTGATGAGAATGAATAAGGACAAGACATACATATTGTATTTTTAAAGTAGAACGGGTTGAATTTTTTTATTCGAAATATTAAAAAAAATTCCTCCATGTATTCCGACAAAACATTCTCAAGAGGGGCGATCTATGTAAAATTGAATACCCTATTCAAAAATTCAACATCGATATCGATTAGAAACATACTAGTTCCTATAATGCTGATTTTCAGACACATTGTTTGATGGTATCAAATTATTGCAATTCTCATGGAAAATAAATAATGGGTGGTGATGATAACATCTATACATTTTCGGTCAAATGTCTCTGTGGACAAAAGGTTGGAGTATCAATGGTTTTCGAGTTACAGGGCGCTCAAGTATAGCAAGTTCAAATTCCAACTTTTGATGATTGAACACCCTGTTACTCAAAAATCGCTGATTTTGGGTCCATAGTCCAAGTGGAGACTTTGGATCAGATTGGCATGGAGAACGACATACTAAAGCAGCAAAGATGACCGAGACCCATAAGGAATGTGCAAAATCCTTTAAAAGAATATTACATACAAAAATCGTTGCAATACAATAAGCTTCGAGATTTGTTTACAGAAAATAGTTTGAATAAAAAGTGCACTGTAGTTTTTGATTCATCTGTCGCTTACGTCTTTTCGCCTATGTGATGCGATCGGACTATTGTTTTCACAATACCTAGCTGAGCTTGTCTTATTTTATTCCTTTACTCATTTTTTGAATGATTCCAATTTTTAAAGCATCTTACTTAAAGACCTTACAATTTCATTTTGAGCTTTAGATAATATAATTTTCTTGAAACAGGGGACAATTTGATTCAAGTCTTTCTATAGTAAATATGTGTAATAAGTACTAAGATTGATTAACAAGCATCTTTCAGACTTCATTCGATTCCTTACTCTTCGACCACTTTTGTACCATGTTCTGAATTTCTTCATAGATTTGCCTTTAGTTTCTGGTACGCAACAACACGTGAATACTAAGCAGATTTGCAACAACATGAGAAGAACCAAAAGGTACCAGCTGCTCCTAAAGATTCCGTCATGTTATTGAAAAATCTAGTAACAGGAATGTAGACACACAAGCGGTGGTGGATACCGCCGTAGATGTCACTTTGCTTCACATTCTCGGAAAAAGCTCCGAAGAGATTGCCCAAGGGACTATGGAGACCCCCATTTGGTATGAGAATATCAAAAATACTAGACTGAGCAGTGGCAACCAGTATATGGGTTCTACACTCCAGCTTGTGTGATCTTTTATGTAAAAGTAGGAGCCCAGGATAAACATGGACAAACCCATCCTGTACAGGATAAAGCCAGCAGTACCTTTCTTCCTAATCTATCCATTACTGGAGGTACCAAAAGCTGAAGAGAAACATCCCGAAGCCTACAATGAGCGAGGAAATGTCTGAAGGCAGTTTACTGCCAGACTCTTGAAGAATGGTTTGGAGGTAGTAATTGACAGCGTTCATTCCACAGAGTTGTTGTAGAGCCATGAGGATAAGGGATATGACGAATGCCTTCCGAAGTCCTGCATTCTTGAGGATGTCGGAGTAGCTGCCAGATTCTTCCCTCTTTAGATTGGTCTTTATTTGATTGAGCTCGATCTCTACACCTTTGTTGTCGAGGCACCTCAATTTCATCAGTACCTGGAAATGATTTCAACTTACTATAAACACTTCACTGGAAATGTTATTTTATCTTGAAGCAGTCGCAAAGATAAAGCCTGACTATTCAAAATCCGGAAACATATTATTGATAGATAAATAATATAAAGATATTATATCGACATAATTTTGAGCTGGTTAAGGTCTCTAAGAACTGGGGAAAACCACTTCTGGTAGATTTTCCACATATCATGTGACCGAAGTATAGCTTGTCCCAGAATGAGTGGTTACTCTCTCAGATGTTACAGGTTGTTCCATAAAAACATGTCAATCTCTCGTATGCATATAGAACACACAAAATAATAAGGCCGCACAAACTTACCAGAATCGACCACTGCGAAAATGAAAACAGCAAGCTGTATGATTGGAACAGAATACCTGTTAGCATTGTCAGCCAGGTCACTACTGTCGCCGTTAGATGCCGCCAATTCTGGTTTTTCAGTAAGCAGGTCTACTGGCCATTGAACAAACTAGTAATACTGCTTTCATTCGTCCGACCACAGACGGTCAACCATGTTTCGTGCTAATCGGCAACAGTTCCAACGGACAGCTTGCTGTTTCCATTTTCGTACTGGTCGATTTTGGTATTAGATGGCACTTTGTGCTGTTTTATTTCGATAGACCCTATACTCTAAATAGAGCAGAGTTAATCAGTTTCTGATATTTGTAGACATGTCTTCTTCCGTCAATACTGTAGTAATGAATATCTGTCAATACAGGTTGTTTTATTGACCAAGAAGCATGGCGGATTATCGACATGTAAACCACAGGGTAAGTTTTAGATGTTATATTAACGGGCTTCTGGATCTGACTATCTGAGATTTTCATAACGACCCATCAAGTGAGATCGAAACGCAAATATCAACTTCAGTAATATCAGAAAAAGTAATTAAACTCAATTTTTTAAACATATAAATGCCCATTCCTAATGAACAATACATACTTCTTCGGCTTCATCGATCTTGTTAGCTCCAACAAGGAAATATGGTGTCTCCTTCCCAAAAGTAGAACGTAATGAAGAAAGCTACCGGGAAGCAAGTGAGCAGCAAATTGAACCACATCACAGACATAAACGGTCCTATAGCGTTAGGAATGAAGTTCCCGAAAGCCCAAAATATTCCCAGAGTTGAAGAGTAGGCACCTCTGTTGGCTGCCTCGGATACTTCGGCAATGTACATCGGTAGAAGGTGTAACCACCACCTACAGCTATGCCTGGAAATCACAGAGGAAATATGATTCGTTTACTTTGACACAACAATGTTTATTAGTGGAAAAATCGTTAATATTAGACGCGTAAGCTTTAAACGATAATAACTAACAATCTAAGTCGTCTGTATTAAATATTTTCAATGTTTGTGTTTTTTCGGGCATAATTTCTAGCAAACAGTACATGCCTGGCCTGATATAATACAGAGCAATCATTACAAAGTGTGTAGATTCGTTCGATTTCTTTATAAAACTGCACCGTACAAATCACATGATAGTTCTTTATTGTGAGCAAGTGTTTCTAATATCATGTTACAAGGAACATTAAACATTTTAATAATACTGCTTGCGTAGGCTCTTGTGCGATAAAAAACTATTTTCGAAAAATTATTGACATTTTGATGTATCTTTTGTTAAAATGCCTTACAAAAGCGGAGGCATTACAACTATGCATTTTGTAAATGAGAATCCGACTCGTAAAGGCTTGGTCTTGACGAATAAGCCTTCGAAAGGTAGTAGCTAGTACAGTACGCACCATTAAATGACCCATGTTAGATAACAGCAGATGTAAGGAAAATTCCTGCACTATAGAAATCTACGAGGTCGCTCTAATTTTCATTGTGTCATGGATATTATTTCTAGTAGTCACATGCTTCATAAAATGAGAGAGGCGATAACTAGATAGCAGTGGAATTTAATTTCATTTCATTTAATCCAAGGAATATAGTTGTTTACATATTGATAGCAAGATTCACTCACGATTATGGCACCGGTAAGAAACACAACCATACTTCGGCTTGTTGTAGTATTCATAATTGTACTTTGTATACGCGAGGAATATTGTAATTAGTGGAAAAATGTCAATATTCAATAAATCAATTTTCGGATTTAATATGGTACATACTAATTACGAAACTATGTGACTGATTTCCATCACTCAGTGTGTCGGTGTGTTGTTGTATTTTCACCATTCTTGAGTTCATGTTCATTTTAGGCCTCAGAAGTTCTATTTATGGAAAATTAAAAATAGATATCTATGAATGCGAAGTAAATGTTGACTCAATCTTCTTGACACCATTTTTTATGTTGTTCTATCAATGTATAGCTCTGTAACCTCATATCGTCCATTAACAGTTCATTCTTGAAATGTACTAACTTACCCTACATAAATACATATGCTTTTTTTTTTGGTGGCTACGCCATAAATACAGGGTGCGGCAGAGAGGATGGACGGTTTTAAAAAAAATCATAAAATAGTTAATTTTTACTCGAAAACACATTTATTGATGGAATCAGGTTCACAAGGAAATAGCATTTGAGACAGTCAAGTGTGGAAAATCACATCAGGCATGTGGTGGTCGAAATCGTTGATGCAGTGCTGGAGGCGTTCTTGGAAGTTCGCGTAGACGCTCTCCAACATCGCTCTCTCAACTTGGGCGACTTCCACGCGAATTTCGCCCTTCAATTCGTCCAGAGTTTGGGGCTTGTTCGCGTATACTCTATCCTTGAGATGCCCCCATAAGAAAAAATCGTATATGGATAAATCTGTTGAGCGAGGAGGCCAATGATCATCGCCAAACCTGGAAATAAGGCGACCAGGGAAGAGAGGGCGAATAACGTCCATGGATGCTCGGGCTGTGTGGGCGGTCGCCCCATCCTGCTGGAACCACACACGTCGGATTGGAACACGTCGCCGTCGTAATTCAGGGAGAAAGAAGTTGGTGATCATATCGACGTAGCGCTCTGAGTTCACGGTAACATCACGACCATTACCGTCTTCGAAGAAGTAAGGGCCAATGATGCAAGTTTGCGATACAGCGCACCAATCCGTTACTTTTGGGCTGTGCAGCGGTCTTTTGTGTAACTGTTGCGGATTTTCATTAGCCCAATAACGACAATTCTGCTGGTTACCATGCTGTTTAGGTGAAAGTGGGCTTCGTCACTCATAGGCGAAAACGCGGTGCTCCACCGTCCAAGGCTCCATAACGACAACTGGTAAAATAATGCTAGGATCTCACGAGTCAAACGGCACCCTCCCCACCTCTCTCGTAGACGGAGGCGGAGAGTACTACCCATCCCAAAACGTCCGTCCTCTCTGCCGCACCCTGTGTAATACGAAACAAGGAAACATATCGATTAACTTTGTCATGCGTGAATCTTAACCATCTTAGGGAAAATTGCACACTACGCGAACCGATTTTCAGCACTAGCTGTTCTTCCGTTCACTTTTAAAAATGCTCCAATAAAGGCTATAGACGAAACTATGAGAATTGCCCCAAAAAGAAATAATTCTTCACGCGCGCAATTTTGGCCAAAAAATGTTGAGAGAAATTACCGATGCTATGCTGTTATATCCGTGATTTTTTTTTCGAAAACAATTTTCCCGCGCGCAACTTTGGTCAAAAATTTTGAAAGAAATTACCGATTCTACACTACACCTACATAACCGTGATTTTGTTTTATAGATTTGTAGAACCTACAAATTCCGGAAAAACATATTTTGATTCTTTTTTCGAATTCTTGGTTAGTTAATTAGAATTTTGTAAGTCTAAAAACTCCAGTACTTGCTTGCGTACCGGAAATTCGCGAAAAATCGGAATAATCGCGTTTTCACCGATTTTATCCTATTTTTAATACATTAAACGTAGGATATCACAAGTTAGCCAACTTTAAAACTCAATGAAGTATGAATCTTTGGCCATTCTTCTATTATTCGAAATTTTGATTTGTTTGAAAATTGCGAAATTAAGAAAAAACGCATTTTCTTTTATTTTCTCCAACTTCAGATATTTTTAGAGTTGGGTACTACAACTTGGAAAAGTCACATTTTTACCGATTTTTTCAATTTCATACATTTTTAGAATAGGATGTCATAAGTACGTTAACTAAAAACTCAATGCACGTATGCATTTTAGCCCATTATTTCAATCTTCATTGCCAAATTATAATTTGTTGCGAAGAAAATTGCGGAAATGGGGAAAACCGCATTTTAGCTGACTTTCTTAAATTTTTTATGTTTAAGGTCTAGAAATAAATACTTGGATAACACAATAACGAAAAAATGCGGAAAACCGCATGTTTACCGGTTTTTTCTTAATTTTGAGATTCATAGAGTAGGATATTATGAATTGGCTGGCTCAAGAACCCAATGTGCGCACGTATTTTGTGCATTCTTCTAGGTTCCATTGTATAAATTGTGGTCCGGAAGATTATGAAAAAAGAAATAAACATATTTTCGCCGATTTTCTTCAATGTTTGACATTTTAGATCAGTTAAGGGATGACTGGTTAACTCAGAAACCTACTATATACATATATGCGTGGATTAAGCTTTCGAGTTAACGAAGATATTGTATTCGGTTTTGTCGATTTTTCGGACAAGAAATAATTATATTGAAACTAAAAAAGTATTCCTTTCCTGACCAAAAACGTTAAAAACTGAAGAAAATCAACAAAATACGGTTTTCATCATTTTCGAAATTTTTCGAAGACAAATTAAAATATTGATCGCGGAATTTGAAATAATGAACAAAAATACATATTGTACGTTGCGTTTTTAAGTTCGGTGCAAATGCGGTTTTTCCGATTTTTGGCGATTTTCCAGTTAAAAATTCACGATTCTGTTAGTGGATCTGACAAGTAAACTCTGATAAATAGTGGATTTTTTACGTTTGCGAAATTTAAGTTCCTATCTATGTATATTTCGAAAAAAATGTTTCAAAACCTGTTTTTCTCGAAACTATATGCTTCACAAATGTTAGAAAATTATTTTCGAAAAAACGTTTTTGATTTTAGGGGGCCCTAGGGGTGACCTATAGATCTGAAAATTTAGATGGCTTTGTGGGCATTTTTCCATATGTAGTTTCACCTATAATAGCCTTCAGTAAAGACTGTCGATATTATCCACGAGTTGTAATTTGAGGTATTGCTATGTTTTGTACTACGAAGATCAAAAGAGGTAAACTCAAATCGCACGCCCATGCAAAATGGGCACTTTCGAGGAGGAGAGATGAAACTAAACAACGTATGTCTGTGAGTTTATACTAACATACGTTCGCGCTATCTGCATATGTACAGGTATATAGTAGGGATTCAGCAAGTCAAGCATCTTAATATTTTTATAAACTACTTGACAATAAAATTACTTGAAACGTTAATACTTGACTTGACTTGATTGAGGTAAAGCATATTCAAACTACTTGTTACTTGATGGAAATTTGTTTGTTCTACTAAAGACCTTCAATGATATTTATTTGTTCCGGATGGGCCGTAAAAGACATGGAAATGCATCCCTAAATCTAGAGTAAATGGCATGAGATTTTTTATCGACACCTGGAAATTTGTATGGCTGCAGTGACCATTACGGAACCCCGTAACTCCGTAACAGATTAACCGATACATCCATTAGGACCCCCACGCGTCTTAACTCGTGGTTGACGAATGGAAAGCTAACTGAGAATTTTCATTTTTGTGCAACAGCTGATGAAGAAATGCTTTTTGTTCTATTCGAGATTACAGTTATCGTTCTTTTATTTGTTATACAATGAACAAATTATTTTGTACAATTAGTATTGCTTTTTCTGTAACAAAATCTTATCGTTCTGTATTTATAATCCACTCGAATTTATATTACAAAAATTATCAAGTAATATAAGACTACTTGAGCTTTCTAGTCCTTGGCGTAAAAACTACTTGACTTAATTTACATTGCTAATATCTAATACTTGACTTGAACTTGACTTGATTTCAAGACAAGTCGTGAATCCCTATGTGCTAAAGATGAATGTATGAGTTGATACCGGTAGTTTTACTGTGACTCGCCAAAAATGGTGGAAAAACTGTATAATATTTTATAAGATGCCGTTTCTCAGTTGTGTGTGTGTGTTGTCAAAAATATACATACATATTTCAAGTGATCAAGGGTGCTTTGATCATAAAAAGACGGAAATGAGGCATCGTTTTCAGATTGGCGTATAACATGCCATAAGTTTGTTACCAGTTTGGCTTTTGCAATACTACTATTCGTAAAAAATACAAGTCAACAGACCATAGCACCGGCAAACAATAAAAAAAACCGTCAAACTAGTTTCGTGTGGAAGTAGGGGATACATCTCTTTGTAACTCCGAAAGAAAAGCGGAAGTCTGTCCGTGTGGGGAACACTAATGTATTTCGGACTAATCTAACAGAAAAAGGACGTGCGGAGTATTACTTCACTAAGTGATCTCTGTCTGATCCTAAATAATTGTTTATGTTATCACTTAAGATTATCTTGGCCATATCACCAAGTCAGATGGCATATGCCGTTTTACTCGTAAAGTCGATACATAACGTAACCGAGTAGATTCCTTAAAAATCCAAATATTCAAACTGATTGGCCAGTTATACAATTAGTTTTAACCTTTCTTTGTTTATTAACCACTTCGAGACGCAGTAGGTACATGTGGTTGAAAAATATTTTACAATATAAAAGTCAATATGAATATAACACTATATATAAATGTTCATCTTTGCGTACTAAAGGTTGCCACATTTCAGATGCTCAGTTATAAAATGCTTTGGTTGTTAACCATTTTTAACGTCACTTATAAATGAAATATGATTACTGATTTGCTGTATTTTAACTAGTAATTAATGGCATAATTTGATGCAACTGTAGTAGGGGTGATTTTTAAAATGCCTTGTGTTGTGTGTTTGATTGATTCTTAAATTTTGATTTCTAGTATTGTAGTTATGAGGAGCATTAATATTTGACCACAGGCTATTACATCTCTTAACGTAAGTTATACATTTCGAAATGTAAATACAATGTATCCTATGAAATTTCTTATGATTTAAACATTTCTCTACAGGAGTCAAGTGGTAAGTAGAAAATAAATCTGATGATTCGTTTGGGTAAACAAATATTCTATCAATTT